GATTGGGTGTGGGCTTGAAGGTGCGCTCGCCCACGTGGAGTGACTGGCGCGCCTGTGGGTATCGAGGGGGGGAGGAGAGATAAGTGCCAGGAGGGATAAGGGGGAAAGTGGGGGGAAGTGAAGGGGGGGGGGGAAAAGGGGGGGGGAGAAGTGGGGGGGGAGGGGAAGGGGGGGGGAGTGGGGGGAAAGCGGGGCCCCCTTTCAAGGGAGTTGTGGTTGGGGACATCCTAACTTTGGGATGCTGACAGTGATGAAGAGAGAGCTCCCCGAGTCACCGCGACGCGACCTCGACAGAGGCGAAGTGGTGTTGAGATCTCATCACTGGTTCGTTGTTCATGTTCGTCCACAAAGAACTTTTCTTTGGTCGTCCTGGAAAAGGAACTGCTCTGCGCCCTTCCCTGTAGTAAGAGGTAGGGGCGCGAGACCTTGAGAGATGTTTGGTTGTAACGCAAAACGTAAAGCCACCGGAACGGCGCACGCAGTCCGTGTTGTTATTCCTCTCGCTCTATTCCGAAACTCCGGCGAAGAAAAATCCAACGGGCTCCCTACTCTGCTCAGCACAGGTGCCCTTGGTGCCCTGGACTGAACGTAATTTGAATACACATATCTTTGTCGAACTGAATCACGATAAGTCTATCCCGGGTGCCCCACACAAGCACTAAGTTGAGGCCGCATACGGGGCCGACCCGCGGGTCCGCTACAAGGGAAAACAGGTTGCAAGTTGGAAAAACTTTATCAGGAGAGCGCAAGTGGCAATTTATCCGCACCTGTTCAATAATTTTCATCATTTTCTTGAGCCAACCTTCTGTCCCTCGCTATACAGGTGTATCTTCCGGACCCCCTTTTCGTCGTTGATCGACTTATAATAACAGCTGCATATAATTCTAAACGTATATGTTTTGGAAGAGTATCATGAATACGTTTCCCTCTTAAGATTGCGGCGAGGTGCTAGAAGTGAAATGATCAGGTTTGCCATGGCCAAGGGGATGACGGCACAATTGCCGTACGGATTCATTTGAAAATGAACGCGCGAATACCTGCAGGGAGCAGGATTACATGTGCCTACCTAACATACACGCACCTGTTCAGAGCAGCGCTACTGTAAATCCTAGCCTTGGAAGCGTTCTCATGCTGACGGGCAAACGTTACACCTGCTCATAGGTTCACGCAGCGTGAAGCAGCGGAAGATGCTTACGACTACGGGAGTAAGCTTGCAGCTACTAGTTTTTTATTGTTCATCGGTGGTATCCTAGATGTAACAGAGTCTGTAAAGCCGCAAGGAGCACAGCCGTCAACAGTAGCAACCTCGCCGGACTGTGCAGGGCAACAGCAGTCTGCTAGGTCGCCGACAGCGGCAACGTAGCTTTCCTAGCTCGCTTGGTTTCTCGAGACACGGCAAGATGCCCAGCCACGACGATCACCAGCTTCCACTTCCAGCTATGTTGGCGGCTTCCACGCCCTCAGTAGCAGACGACGACTATGGTGAGGAAGGAAGCCTCGACGATGAGACAGAGTTGCTGATGCTGCAAAAGGTGGTGCAGCAGACTTTAGAGAAGAAGAAGATGGCGGCCGCCAAGCAGCAAGCTCAGGTGCTTGAGGAATTTAAAGCGGCAGCGGAAAAGCGCGTTGCCGCCCTTGAAGCTGCTATCGTGAAGGTGCGTCCTTTAAACCTGGGCATACTATTGAAGGCTCCCTTTCCATACATATAGCACGCCTGTATAATATGGAAGCTGGTCTTACCGGAGCATGAGGCTCGTCCAAAGCGCTAGCAGCTTGCCTACGATTCATGGCGGTTACTTCCTCCTCCTGTACCAAGGCCGCGGTCTCTCTCGATTTCTGGCCACGAAGCCTTTCCTGCGTGGCAGGCAAAACGCGGAAGGTGTAGGGGTCCTCTAACCACACATGTTTGCTTGCACCCTTTCCGCAGTGGCGAGATGTTTCTCAGCCTCTATCTCCCTCCTCCCCTTCTCTACCCTGCCAAAAACTCCCTATAGATTCGGGAACTGGGCAGACCAGATCCGCCATGTATAACCCTAGTCCAGTTCACATCGCGACTAAAGCAAAGCCAGTCTCGCAAAGCCAATCTTGCAACACGACCCACAACCTTGCTTTTGCACGACCTTTATCATCGACCTCCCTTGACCCGCAAGCCCCAAGCCGCAACCCGGCATCCCATCCGCAGCTCTTTTTATCACCAACAGCTGCCCGCTCGTTCACTTGGCCAACTGCGCTCCGGTATCACCATATCATTTAAAAGATGATACCACCCAAATACCCAGACACACCCCACACACCCTCCTCTGACTTTCGGTGGCTGCGGTGTCTGAGCTAGCGGATTGGTAGGTCTTCAGCTCGTTAGGAATGTTGTTGCATCATTGGTCATCCAGCTAGTGCTCCCCAGGGGACGGGGGCCCCCAGCGCCTTCTTGGTCCAATCACGCGTCGGGGCGGCCGCGGCCCCAGGCGACGGCCACAAACGGAACCCCCGAGGATTACGTGTAGCCGCGACCGTCTCGGCCTTCACATCTCGGCCCTCACATACGAGGAGGAAATTTCCGCTATTGACTGGACAAGTTAGTTACAAGTTACAAGTTACAAGTTACAAGTTCCGCACACAATTGACTTAACGACGGAACCTCAGAACTGCCTCCCCCTCCGTTCTGCTTGCTGCTCGCGAGCTTCAGGATGCCAAGGAGTGCGCTGCGCTCGCAAAGGCAACATTCACCAAGACCACGCAGCGCCTCGAGGACAAGTTGTCCCAAATGGAGGCGGTGACTCAGAAGTACCAACAGGTGTGGGCCTGGTACCGCAGCAGCCACCATCCCCAGAAGCCGAGCAGACCCTAGCTGTAATAACGATACGAAATGACAATGTCAGTCCGTACGGTACGGCTTAGCACGTACTGGTACGGCGTGGCACAACATGTGATCAAGTAGTACAGGGTTGTGCCGCATTGAGTAGTGAATGGTAATGCTAACACAAATACTATGACGGCTACGGCGGCTCATTAGCGCCATTAGCAGTAATAGTAGTAGTGGTGGTAGTGAAAAGTTACATGTTGCAATCTTCCTGTCCCGAGGGTAAAGAATGTCCTCCATCCCTGCCCTGCTCCGTACGTCTGTCTGAACCGTCGTGTCTCTGGGACGAGATTACTCGTCGACTGGTTGGAGCTTTGAAGTCATTGGAGTTTTATATTGATAAGTCACGTCGTACGGTCCTGTCTCGTACTGCATTACCACTGCAGGACATGGCGGTGTTGTGGGAGCAGTACAATGAGGAGCATGCGGGGCTGGAGAACGCCACCATGCAAATCAAGATGACGGTGGAACAACGAAAGCAGGGCATCAAGCGCCGTATCACGGCGCTCGCGCAGGTGCGGTGCGGGGGGTTGTCGCCCGGGGGGATGTCTGACGTGGGTACGGGTGTGCGCGGGCGTCTCAGACTGCGGATATTGGCGGCGTGTGCGGAGGGGGGCAGTGTATGGGCTGTCGCTTTTGTCGGCACACTACGTGCCCCCTGAGCATGCGCACTGAGGCCGCGCGGGAGCCGTCACTCGAATTGATCAATCCAACACCCTCGGCTTGTCGCGGCCTTGGCGTTGTGGTCCCCCCGCAATCGCGACCGGCGATGTGTGTCGTTTCAAAATGCAGCATTCCTCGCGAGCGAGCAGCGCCATGCCGGGCTGGCGTTAACACCATTTATGCCTATCGCCAGATTGATGGAAGCTGGTTACAGTCACCGGGGTATAAATAAACACCGTTGGTATATGTGCCGCTGTGACATGTTGCGGTGTCTTGTCCCTATCCAGGTTTATCGACCCGAGCGCTGTACGCGTCCTACATTCTAGGGCATTCCTTATGTTTATTCTTCCCTCGCCTTGCTTCTTGCTGTCTGCCCCCTCGGCGTTCCCCTGCAGGAGAATGAGGCGGCGCTCTCGGAGGCCACCAAGAAGGCGGAGGCGGTCAAGGGCCGAGCAGCCAAGATGCCGCAGCTGGCCAAACTGCTGCAGTCCCTCGTGTGAGCGGTCCGCGTCCTCTTGGCTTGGGGCACCTTGTCGCTTGATCGGAAATATGACGGTGGCAACAGCGGTTAGCGGCGATGTGGAGGGAGTCACCTGACCTGGGTGAGGTAAGCACCCACCCATGTCAGCGGCAGCTGAGGAGGCAGGAAGGAGGACAGCATCCCGCAGAACGACGGCATCACGCCGATGGCCGGGGAGGGGGCTCAATGAGAGGGGCCGGTTCCGGGCCTTGACGATAGTCAACACAGCAGCCACTGCATTACTGTGCCGGCATCCCACAGGCCGTGCTCTGCTCTCAATGGCCTCTTGTTGGTCTCCCAGGAACAGCCGAGGGCCAAAATTTGCGAGCGTCTGGGACCAGCCAAACCGCAGGCGGTGTTGAGACTTGATCGCCTGCTGAGACCTGACCTGACCTGAGGCTCGTGTACAATACAATGGGCATTCATGTGCACATCAGCATCCCACCCGCTGCATTTGAAGCGGATCCGTTATGGCGATGCTTGATTGATTGCAGGGATATGTAGTGTGCAGCAACAGCCAACTACTAGTAGCCCGAGTAAAGCTCGGTGGGGTGTCGGGGTCGTTTGATGTGCGGCTTTATCTCCTCATGCAACCAGGCATGTGCGGCTTTATCTCCTCATGCAACCAGGCATGTGTTGATTGTTCGTTCTGGGAGTGCGAAGAACAGCACCGCGGGGATGGGCACTGGATAGGCCAAGTGCATGTGCTGGGTTGTAGCAGCCGGTACACAGTACGGCACTATAAATACGCGCGTAGCGCGACCACCAGTATCTCGAGAGGCCTTTTCAGCGGCAATGCAGGGTGGTGGCTGTTGGCCGTTGCTGGAGTGATGGGGGCGAGCAGTGATTATTATTGACACGTTTTGTAGAGAAGTGAGCTCCGGGTTGGGTACCGCACATGTAACGCTTGCAGACTCGTATATCGCTGATCCCATGAAGAGAGGCAAGGTAAGGTAAGGTAGGAGACATGCCACAAGAGTCCGCATGCGGCGTAGGCGGCAATGAAATCCGTTCCGTGCCACACTGCTCTCATCATCAGGTGCTTAGAAGGGACTGTGGTGGGAGTAAACTCGCCAGCTGAACCACCTGGTGTGCGGGTGTACGGGATTTGGATTATGGCGGGTGGGAAGATGCAACTTGTAAGAATCTGGTGCCAACGACATGTTGATAAGCTGAGGCCGGATGTCTCTGTTAGTACACTTGATGCGTGCGCCAAACTATGGGGCCGGCAAATCGGTACTGGCAAATGGGTCACTGGCGCTCCCCTAGCTAGGTGGATGTCTGTACGGGAAAACGTGCCGGCGTACCTTGCATTTCGTATCCCGCACCTCCTCTCAACCAGATAGCCATGTTACCACACGAGCTATGCACAGGGTCACGCGGCAACGTGGCCACACGGCCCCATTTCGGTGTTTTTGAATTAGCACTGGGCCGTGCACGTGCAGCTGAGTGGAGAACCAAGCCGTTGGTAAGCGGCTTGACATGCACCCACTCTAGCCAGGAGCGATTGCTAGCCGGCGAATGGCGACAACAGCAACAGGCCCTGGTTCCGGAGCTTGTGTTGCTGTGTGCCACCTACGCCCCGCCACGGCTTCCGGCGCTTGCACCGGCGGCGGCGGCAATGGCGGCAGATCCCGGTTTGCCGCCGCCGCCGGGGAAACTGTATACACCTCGGCCGACTGGGGCCGCGGCCGCCGCTGCAGAGTCGCTGCTGCCGGCGCTGCATCGCCGGGTGCGGCCGCAACCGCCACCGTCACGTGCGCTGTGTGGCCCGGCTGCCGCCTGTGCCTCGGCGGGTGCTGCATCACTGGCACTTTTGCCGGCAGAGGTAGTTTCGGAGCAAGACACTTTGACGGCATGCCTTCCAGAGCTGCTGCATGCGCGCATCCGACCAATTGTCGTACAGCGTCACGTGCAGAGCCTGGAGGAGGGCCCTATACGGCCGTACACAGGCCCAGGTAATCAGGCTACACTAAAAGCAAGTTAGGATCATGTCGTACATGTGGAAGGAAGGTGGGCATTGGAGCTCTCTTCACGACTGCGCCTGCGTCACTATTCACAGTTGCCGGTACGGCAGCGGTTATGGTTGGTGGTTGAGAACAACCCGCAAACATAAACTTCAGGCTTACGTTGCGGGTGTTTTCCAAGCGGCTTGACATGCCCGGGGGCTTCACCACTTCTCCCCACAACCCTGCGAGATGCCCCTCCCCATCTTACCATCTTCCTTTCTACCCATCTACCGATGCACTCACCATTCATGTACCTGCACTACCACATAGCTCCGCGCCTCCAGATATCTTCGCACACACTGTGGCAGCCTACCGCCTGGCCTGGCTTCTGATGTGCTGTTATCTGACTACATTGGTGTCATACTGCGGGAGGTACTGCCTGCACTGCTGGCCTGCATTGATAACCCCACTCAGGGGTGGCGCAGTACGGCGTGGTACGGCGCTGCATGCCATTGTAGTGGAGAGCTGTTATATCACGTCTTTTGCAGAAAAGAACCGAGCGGTGGATGCCAGATCCCGTGATACCCTGGAAGAGCTTGGCAGCGGGTAGGGGTCCTCAGGGTTATCCTTGATGAAGGGGACGTGTGTGTGTGATGGTGCGTGGGATGGTGTGATGGTGTCGGGGCTAGTGAGGGTAGTATTAAGAAGTGTGCATGTGTGTGCACATGACCTCCTTGGAGAGTTAGCTTCCGATTGGAATATGTGTTCACTTGTATATGTGTATGTAAGTGTAGTTAAAATGTCTATGTATATATATGCTCTCATTCCACATCATCGATACAACTACCACCATATCCCCAACACCCCCTCGTTACACACATTCACACACAGACTTGCAATGGCAACAGCAATGGCAACGGCTCGGCAGCTGGTGGTGAGTTGCCATGAGGAGCTCTGGCCGCTAGTTTTCCCGGTTGCAGTGGCTGTCGTACAGTACATTGAATGCATATGGCTTTGGCTCTCTCTGTTGTTGTTGTTACAGGGTGGTATAGCTTCACCAGTGGCCTCCTTCCCGAGGCAATTCCCTGCTCTCCCCTGCTAGAGGGGCACCCTAAGCCATTCACTCCATCCGACTTCGGATTGTTTTCGTTGGGTATGGCAACTCACCACCAGCATCCAACCAAATCTAGCGGATCAACGGCGCGTCAACTTAGTTCCTGGTCAGCTCGCAGGTTGATTTTATCACGTCCTACACCGTTCATAAGATGGGGGCTACCTCCCATTTCAACATCTCTCACACACCCAAGAGGTCGGCAGGCGAATTTGAACCCGGACACTCCGGGAGTAGAAGTCAGGCCTTAACCTCTGCCAGCCGCCTGCCTGTTGTATGGACGGAGTGCAACGATGGTGGAGCCCGGTACTAAGTCCTGGAGTCCCCACCCAACTACTGAATGGTGTAGGGGCTGTGCAAGGCTGGATCAGTCACTGGTCAGACCACGAACTGAAGCTGGGCTGGCTGGCTGGCTGGCCGGCCGGCCGGAGTGTAGGTGGTTTTTTCCGTTTTTACCAGTTTTTTTTGAACTGTTTGTTCGGGCTGTACAGCCACATGTGTTGGAAATGACCGACACTCATATACCAGTGGATGGTAACCACAAGAATATAACCTGGCGGAGTTGTAAGTAATATTTGGGGCGGTGGGCCTCTGAATGGACTGTAATCTGTACGCAGCTGAGCTGCTCGGGGACATATGAACCCATATGGGTTCAGCATCACCTAGACACCTAGACACAGCTGATAAGCTTGCTTTTCCTTTCGCACTGCATGCAGTTAAGAGGTTCAAGCTATTGTGGCAATGAACGGAAAAGTCTATCCTAAGTCCTGGCCGTCTTTTTTTATATGCCTTATCCACCCTGGTTGCTTGTCCACATGCGGTGCAGTGTAGCAGTGTAGCATAACGCACATCTTGTACGCTCGCACATTACACACCCAGTCCGAGGAGACATGCTGGAGGGAAAGCAAACAACCATGTCTGCATCCTCCTAACGGCACAAGAAGAAGAGCCTTAGGTGCTCCTGGCCCAGCTGCTTGTGGGATTTGTGGAACAGGTTAGCCCCCCACATTTTGACTACCATCGATCCTCCCCCACCGGTTCAGTAGTGCGTTCGTGCAACATGCGCAGCTCTCCTCCAATGAAAAACCCCCAAGGCACATGATGACCACAAGGGCAATTCCTCAAAATCTTGCATCTGTGCTCAACTCGACTCGTATTGTCGAAGCCAGGATCGTCTGTTCCCAAACGCATTCGCAGTCATCATCATTCATACGCTTTGTCATGCATGTCCGGGATCGTGCGTGGTATGTCGCATTTAACAAAAAGAGACTCCCAAAATAATAAAAATCGGAATAATCAAACCAGAACAGGAAGTTCTACCACGGCTTTTCCCTGGGACAAAAAACCATGAGGAAAGACACGGCACTGCTGATAATTATTACGCACTTCATAGCTAGGTCTGAATTAAACATCCAATCTCCAACCGCTGGTGTAGCAGTATTACACACGCAAACCTATGTACCATCCCCCCCGCCAGTTTCTGCCCGTGGCTCACATAATGGAAACACACACACACACACACACACACACACACACACTCTCTCTCTCTCTCTCTTCTCTTCCTGGCCTCTTCACACATCTTCGGATCAACACATGCACATACATACTGTCATTTGTGAGTCCGGTGCGCCAGCTCCAACTCTCCTCAGCTGTACCCCTTAAGCCATAAAGGCCCCACTGGGGCCTATTCCAGGACCGCCGTCAGGGGGGGGGGGGAAGACGAACCACGAACGAGTGAAGCTGCTGCCAGGGCAAGAGGAGGGGGGGACGTTTATACTCTTCAAAGCGTTTAGCTGTGCCAGGCAAATCTGAATTACCAAGGCGTTGTCCCACCAAGGCGTTGCCCCCGCGGTATACCAGGGCGTGTTGTTAATCCATCCGGAGGAGCACCGAACGGCCCAACTTATCTGTTTCACCTGCCTATTGGCTGTTTTTGGACATTCGCAACCTCAGGGCTCTCCCTCCACAACTTAGTTCGTTCCCAACTTTCGCACCACAGCCACGTTCATGTGCAGACATGTACTGCCATCAATTGTCAATCAATACACAGAATGTATACATGCAAGGAATTGCGGCTGCCATAGGGGAAAGGGCCCCTTCGTCCCTTTCCCTCTTACTAGCACTGCTGCTGCTGCCGCTGCTGCCGCTGCTGCCGCTGCTGCCGCTGCTGCCGCTGCTGCCGCTACTGCCGCTGCTGCTACTGCTGCCGCTGCCGCTGCTGCTGCTGCTGCCTCTGCGCATGCACCACCTGCCTCCGCCCCTACCATCCCGGCCGACTACTGACCGCCCGACCATCCGTTCGAACCCTCCACTCATCGCACCACCCCACACCTCTGCTCTGTCAGCCAGTCCGGACAGTCCACACAGGGTCACGCAGCCCCCGATACTACGAAGACCTCGTTCGCCCCCACCCTCTAATGCGGTGGGCACTTCGGACGTCGAGGGACAGTGGATCCTCCCTTCCTAGCATCACATGACCAGCTCCCCCGCTCCTCCGCAAGACGGCCGCAGAGGGTCCTCTGCCTCACTCGGTGCTCGGGTTTCAGCCGACCGACCTGAACTATGAACATAATGATGTAATCACGTCAACACCGGACAGCTCTCCTCCTCCTCCTCCTCCTCCGGATCTCCTCCTCCTCCTCCAACGCAATACAGACGAAACCCAGTGGATGGCCAGTAAAGCAACTCCAGCACCCCTCAACAGGCAGCGCCTGCCGTTGCTGCACGCACAGCGCTGTCTGTCGTGGCTGCCGTGTACCCCCTTCCCGATTGGAAGCATTGGAAGCACCCCTCTCGCGAGCCGTACAGCATCAGCAGGAAAAGCAGCAAGGAAGAGCTGGAAGGTATTTAGGCCCTTGCAGCGGTACGGACACCTTCGCGCCAATCGCTAGCTTGCCGCCTCTACTTCTTCTCTACCCAATCAGGGATTGCGATGTCGCACCGCGCCAACGGAAGGGGGGCCGTACCGCCAACATACCGCGCTTGCCCGGGACCCAAACCTTGCCAACGCCCACAAGCCACTAATACCCGAGCTCCTCCTGCTCTTGCTGCTCTTGTTGCTCCGACTCTGCCTCCGCAGCCGTCGCCTCTATCTCTGTGGTCTCCAATGCTGCGAAGACCCCTCGGAGGGCCGTCCTTGCGTCCAGCAGCAGCCGGGACGGCAGCCGGTCGCCAACGAATATCTTGGTGTTGTTGGTCAAGGCCTTAGAGGCGTGGAGGGGAGAGAGGGAGGGGGCCCGGGATAGAAAGGGGGTTGGGGAGGTAAACCAAAACCAGACACGCTGGCTCTGTGCGATGCGCAAGTTTGAAATCCGGGGAAATCAGGAATCACGTCATTTTCGGGCGTTGTGGCCTCGGCGCTGGTGCGCATCCGTGAAGACACAACGACAACAACAACATGAACCAGCTGCAGGAGCAGCCCGCGGATACAGGAATACCTCCCACAGCCTCTCCATCAGGGCGCTGCATCCCAAATACACAGATCCGACCCCACCACCATCACCCCGTTTTCCAACCTCCTCCCACCCACCCGCCCACCCACCCTCCCGCCCCTCCCCACGCACACACACCTGTATCAATTCATACTCCAAGTATTGCGGTGTCAATTTGCTGCGCAGCCCCTCCGCCTCGCGCTCCAACCTGGCGGGGGAGTTCATGCCGGGCCAGGCCAAAGCAAGGGTGGGGCGGGCTGGTTGGGGACCGGAGGACAAAACTGCCGCCGGGGTCGACGTCCCTCCCTCGTGCAGCGGGGGAGGGAGAGAATGCAGCCAGGCCAAGAAGAGGAGATCGGGGAAAAAGGGAAAGGGGGCGAAGCCATAGTAGCAAATCTTTGCGGCACAGTCCATAATGGGTATCCATGGATAACGTTTTCCATTAAAAAGGACGCTTATCATGCAGCTTGTAGAGACAGTTAACAGGCGGGCGGGGGCCCGGGCAGGAGGGCGCCAAGGGCCCTCGGATGCGTTTCCTGCTGTGTGTGAGCACCCGCAGCCCCGAAACCCGGTCTTCTCCAGGAGCATACCAACGCGACACTGGAGGAGCTTCACCTCCCCTCACCCCTACCCAGCCCGCTCCCGCACCCTACCCCCGCACCCCACCGTAGCCCTTAGCTTGTCCTGACCTGTATTTCTCTGCGTCCGCACGCGCCTTCTGTTGGGCCAGAAAAATGTCGTTGTCAATCTCCGCCCGGGCCCGTTGCGCCTCCTTCTCAGCCAGCAGCTGCTGCATCTGGATGGCGCTGGTCTCAGCGACGCGACGGGCCTGAGAGACACAAGAGACACAAGATAGGGCAGCGGACGGAGGAATGGAAGGGACAGCACCTTTGCGGAGCTCTCTGCGCTCGTGAGCAGCAGCTC